CCTGGAGTCATCTTTACATTAGCTACCCATCTCCCTAATGAACGCCGGGAGGGCAAAGAAAAATATGGAGCCAGAAATCGGTATGCTCGCGGACCTCGGATGTTTAAGTGAAGAGCGAATTTCTTGAACCACACGGCAAACCGTTTGCCCTTGCGTTTGGGCCTCAAGCGAACATGTGCAGAAAAAATTTAAAAACCTCCTCGGTGACGTGCGGTCGGATAACTCAAAGGGCCTTTGAAGTCAATGACGATGCTTGGTGAGGCTGTCTCCGCCGTCTTTTGATAGTTTTCCGATGTGCTGCTACTTTGGCTTGCAGATGTTTAATGGTTTGCTTGTACTTCATTGATAGAGACTAGTCGCTGGCACACAGGAACGCCTTGCAATAAACAAAAAATGGATGTAAAAGCGAAGAACAACTAATCCCATACGAGCACTTTCCTCGCTCTTCAGACCCAAGGTGCACAACTTTCTGTGGTGCAATAGTTTTCGAATACACTACCTAAAAACAAACCATTCACAATGTTGACAATGCACAAAAAAATGAAAATCACTGAGAACCCACCCTTACATTTTGTAAGTGCACACGTAGTGTCCTTTTGAGGATAGTTTCCTCAGAATGTCCTAAACATAAAATAGCTGCATTAAAAACAGCTGCAATAGTCACCATTTTCTCTAGGGCACTCAGGCGTGGAGCTGTTGGCGGAGACGTCTTCTGGAGGGTCTTGTGAAGCTTGTTCAGTGCCTCGGACAGTGCTGTTGGAACAAGCTTGCGAGCGGCCTGCGGAAGTCTCTATATCAATCCACTCTGGTGTTGAAGTGAACATACAACTTACCGGTCACACAAGTTCCTTTTGTGACAGCTGAACTAACCGGTTAAGGTTTTCTCCGGCAGGGCGAAGTCAGCAGAAATTCTTTTACCAGCTACAAGGGAGCTGCCACCTGCAGAGGTTTGGTCAACAGTAAATTTGGGTAAAAAAAAAGAAATCGCGACACTGAACGCACCCTGCTCATCAGGGCACCTCAATGTGTGGGAGCCACTTTTTGAAGCCTCTACCGCAGGTCCTGAAGAAATGAAATTACGACAATGTGTCAGTAAGAGGCTTAAAATAACACAAACTGAAGCTCATCCGCACCTTGCAGTGCAGCTTCTGCAGTCATGTCACAGTCACTATTTGAAGCGACGCTCAGAGAACCTGCATATATGTGCAGTTGGTACAAGTTACAAAGCTTGTAGCATGGGGAAACTTAAACAGCTCTTTCAAACGCATAAATTGGTCGAACGTGGAAGAAAAGAGAAGGCACCAACTAGGAAACAAGTAATTTGTGATTTTTGGAATTATCAACAGTGCCAGCTTTACTGATGAAAGGTATATGTATATGTGCACACAGGCTTGAAGATAGCCTGAAATAGCCCTTTAAAGTTTTTCAAAACAAGTTGCGCAGGTCAAGAGCATCAAAAAACGACAAATGTAAAGCTGCTTTAGGAAGGTAATAGCCCACAATTCACAAAATTTAAGACTTTCCAAGTGGTACTTCTATAGTGAGGTTTCTCCATCGGCTACAAAGATCTTCGCGGTTAACTGTCGCCACTGATTCGATACAAGTGGCTGCTATTGCACATATTTGAGTTTCAGTCAATCACTTACATGGTGCAGCTGGTTGCACACTGGGAACAGCCATTCTTGTAAGCCTTGTGTGCCCAGGGTCCATGAAACTTTGAGCAGTAAAATGGTCGCTACAAACCCTGTACGTTGCGTACAATAGGCTGGCCGGCTTACTTAGGAGATCATCGCGTCCAGCATACTGCATCCATGCTTTCATCCTGCATTGGCAATGAACTATCAGCTGAAAGGGGAAGTTCTTGAATAGTGATTTTTTATTGTTACCCTCACTGAGCAAGTACGAACAGTAAGCCTAAAGACAACCAAACCATACAAAAGCTTTAACACACCTGCCGTCCCGTGGTATGAGGAAGAAACTCGACCCAGGCTTCTTGTGGGTTCTGCCATTGTTGAAGCACCACGATACACAGCAGTAGCTGCCGTAGCTTGGACCGCCGGACGGCATGGCATCAGCGCGGTATGAAAATTTTAGCAAGTGAATGCTTCGCTGTCAAATTACGAAAAAGATATGTGCACGTCATAAGTGTACCAGCAAACCCCTTTGAATGATTAGCTAATCAATGCACAATACAAAACCAGTGATACATCTCTGACCCATAAAACTCTGACTTACAAAGATAAACGTCAAGACCACCTACAAAGATCTTCAGAAATTTCCAGGCCGCTATCCCTTGTAATGCAATGGTATCGCGGCCTGGGAACTTTAGAACACCTTCGTGCGTACGCAGTATCAGCAGTACATTGGGAAGAAAAATCGTAGTTGAAATTTGTGCGGTAAAATTATATTGGAAACGTCAAAAAAATTTGTGGGCAGCTTGCACTAGTGGCACAAGGCTAGCGAAGAAACGAAGATGATGGCCACTTGGCTAGTCCAGATTTGCCTCCGGCACACCAAGAATTATTCGTGTTCCGAGCCTTCGGGAAACGCGTCGTGAAGCATGCGAGGCCCAGCGAACGCTTCTCAATATTTTGCACCGAGCCTATGACTGCCCAGCTGTGCTCAGCGCACAGACGCTCGCGTCCGTGGCAGACGCAGCACGCGTCGCCTCGGCTTGACGCCGTGCCGCCTTTGCTATACTGCATACGTTGCACAATGTTCCCGTCTAGCCGCCGCATAGAGCCACAAACTTTCTTTTTAGCGAACCTCCCCGTCCTTACAAGCTTCAGAAAAAGGTTACAACTGCGTGAATGAGACGCCACGTAAGAAACAAACTCGCACACACGAAGCGCAACGTGTGTGTGTGCATCTTTCCATGTTTGTTGCATGGTGTCTTATTCGCGCAGGTGTAACCGTTTTTTGAAAAAAAATGACCCAACAAGCCCAACAACATGTCATTCAACAAGCTTCGCTTGAAAACATGCCTCACCTGTTATCTCACGCACGAAAACGCCGACGCCGCCGACGTTGACGAGAGCGACGAAAGCTTTCTGCTGTTAGTCATGCATGAGCTTGTCGCTGGGTGGATGGTGTTCATGACAGTACGGCTGAAGAAAAATAATCGCGTAAGGTGTGTTAAATAAATTGTTTTTATGTATAGAAAACATACCAAGTTTGGGCGTATAATATTTATTTTGTAAAAACAATTTTGTTGCATTGATTATAACTGTTTTTTTTTTTTTGCGCTTGCATCCTTCTACGTTTGGTGAGAGCATTGGTTCGTTACGTAGTCGTAAAGCACTTTCTGAGGCCAGGTTTCGCGGAGTGTCCTCTCTTGTCTTTTTCTTTCTCTATGGTATATTTCTCTATGACTGTACTAGTGTAACTGTGTAACACCAAGGAGGATATTGTGTAACACGCTACACTACTGTATCGCCACCTGTTAACTCCTCCTGAAGTATTTTATGAGAGGCTAAGATATAAATCCTCTAAAATCGGTAATTGTAGGTGCCTCACAGTTCATAAATGTATAAAAACTATTAGTAAATTGTATAAAAAAGGTGGACCAGTATTCGTCCCTGAGTGTTTTTTGTTTTTGTTTTTTTTTTTTTTACAGCGCGACTGCTTGCTCTTCTGGCTCATGCTGGTGAGGGCTGAGAGGTGGTCGTAAAACTTACATGATGATGTTCCCGTTATCCTTCCGAACCTTCTCGTTCATTTCGTCACAAAAAAAGAAAGCAGATTAGAATGGCACCTGGGTAGGCGTATACATGCATAAAATGAAGAGAGAAGTTTTTTTTTTTTTTTAACAGCGCGATTATTTGCTTTTCTGGCTCATGCTGTCGAGGGCTGAGGGGTGGTCGTAAAACTGACATGATGATGTTCCCGTTATCTTTCCGAATCTTCTCGTTCATTTCGTCACAAAAAAAAAATATTAGAATGGCAGCTGGGTAGGCGTATACATGCATAAAATGAAGAGAGAAGTTTTTTTTTTTTAACAGCGCGATTATTTGCTTTTCTGGCTCATGCTGGTGAGGGCTGAGGGGTGGTCGTAAAACTGACATGATGATGTTCCCGTTATCCTTCCGAACCTTCTCGTTCATTTCGTCACAAAAAAAAAAAGAAAACAGATTAGAATGGCACCTGGGTAGGCGTATACATGCATGAAATGAACAGAGAAGTTGGTTTTTTTTTTTTTTTAACAGCGCGACTATTTGCTTTTCTGGCTCATGCTGGTGAGGGCTGAGGGGTGGTCGTAAAGCTGACATGGTGATGTTGCCGTTATCCGTCCGAACCTTCTCATTCATTTCGTCACAAAAAAAGAAAACAGATTAGAATGGCAGCTGGGAAGGCGTACACATGCATGAAATAAACAGATTTTTTTTTTTTTTAACAGCGCGACTACTCGTTTTTCTGGCTCATGCTGCTGAAGGCTGAGGGGTGTTCGTAAAACTGACATGATGTGATTACCGTTATTCTTCCCAACCTTCTCGTTTATTTTGTCACAAAAAAGAATAGTTTCACACCTGCTCTGCAATAAGAATTGTGCTAGCTCATATGACGCAAAATCAAATTTCGCGCTTGGAACCGTTTGTTGGTAACGCCCCTTGGTGGCGTCATTTCAAAAGCGAACACCTTTCTGATTTCTCCCATTAGTTTGCTGCATATGGTTTGCTGCAAAAACGGCAGACTGCTCGAATCTAGTACACGATAACAGCACCAACCATAAAGTTTTATACAATATTGTATTGATATCTAATTAAGCTCTATAATGCCAACCAGAAAACAAAACCAAAACTGTTGTAAATTTTATTAAAGTTGACTAAAGTTTATTTTCCCTAAAATTTTCAACCGAAACATATTCTGCAAGTTTTTATTCAAAAGTTGTAAAACATAAATGGTGTTTATGGTAATCAACGTTCTAAAAACGTTGATGGTAATCTTATTTGTTAGCGACAAACTTTTCTACAGTTTGGCAACATTCAATTCAATATGTCAGCGTCCTTGTTTTGTTGACGTTGCAGACGGCGTTTCTAGATGTAACTGTCTTCTGTGGTGTTTATCTGGTGTGTAGCTGCGAGTACAGTTCCGGTGACACTCCATACTGATTATCTCGTCAACTGTATCCTTGCGACATCAGCGCGATATTTTCGGCGGTGACAGCGCATCCCTGGTGCAGCCACGTAACGGAGGTTGGACGAAGTCGAGCGCCGAGTTTGCCTAGTACTCATTGTTCGCACCATTCTTCACTGTGTCCGTGTTACATTTAAATGACCATTACAAATGGCAGAGAAGAACCTTGTGGCAAAAGCCACAAAAGCAGCTTCGTACAACATCGTTCTGCAGCTGACTCTGCGTGTTTTAACGTTCGTGCTGAACGCGTACATCTTGCGACACATCACCAAAGACCTGCTGGGAGTTATCAATGTGCGACTTATGCTTCTTTACACAACAGTGCAATTCCTGAGCAGGGAGCCGTTCCGTCGATCCTGTTTGAGTGATGCAAACAACCAAAACTGGCCTGCCATCATCAATGTAACATGGTTGTGTCTTCCCATTTGTGTATTTATTGGTGCCGTTATGAGCTTTGTATGGTTGTTCGTTCTCGAAAGGCCTGACCCCATGGTGGCTACTGGCTATACGCTGGGTGTGCACTGTGTGGTCATTTCTGTTATTATTGAAGTGCTTGCCGAACCTCTATACGTTGTCAGTCAAGCGTTTCACTATATAAAGTTCAAAATATTTTTTGTGGGGAGCGGGATTACCTTACGGTGCATCATAATGGCGGTGCTCGTTGCCTGCAACCCAGAGAACGCTATTTGGGCTTACAGCGTAGCACAGCTGATATCGTCAGCATATTATACTGTCGTTCTTTATGCCTACTTTACCTTTGAATCAAGGCGATTAAACCGCGCCTGTGAAGATGAAACAAAAGACTCCAGCCGCGAATGTAACGACCATGCACTACCTTTTACCAGTGCTGTTGATATCATTCCTTTCATTGGCTACAATGGTACACAGTTTGACCGAAATGTTGCAAAGCTTACATGGAGCTTTATGAAGCAAACAGTAGCCAAGCAACTGTTGACTGAAGGGGAACGTTATATCATGACTGTGTTCAACACACTATCTTTCGCTGAACAGGGTGTGTATGACATAGTCAACAACCTTGGTTCTTTAACAGCCCGTCTTGTCTTTCAGCCCATTGAAGAAAGTAGCTATGTGTTTTTCGCTCAAGTTGTACAGCGTGATGTGCCGCCCAGCCAACAAAATGTTGACAGTGCCTCGTTGAGTGTGTTAACTTTGAGGCAGCTTCTAAAGCTGCTGTCACACGTTGGACTTGTCATTTTTACTTTTGGTCAAGCTTACTCCACTCTACTCTTACACTTGTATGGTGGAAGTGCACTTAGTAACAGCCTAGCACCGCTACTACTTAGATGGCACTGTGCATACATTGTATTAATTGCTATCAATGGAGTAACTGAGTGCTTTGTGTTTGCTGCTATGAGCAAAAAACAGCTGGACCAACATAACCGCAGACTCGCCCTCTTTTCAGTCCTGTTCCTATTTGTTGCATACCTTCTGACCACCTTGTCTGGTGCTGTGGGGTTCATTCTGGCAAACTGCTTTAACATGATTGCACGAATTGGTTACAGTATATATTTTATAAGCACATACTATGCCAAAACTCGATACCGTCCATTGCATGGTATTCTTCCCAGTGTACGTGTGCTTGTTACTGCTGTGTTTAGTTATCTAGTCACCACAATTTCAGAAGCAGTATTCTGCTGTTATGCTGGATTTTTTTACCTCTTGTTGCATGCTGCCATTGGTGCACTGTGCTTGCTTGTGTTCCTGGCTGCCATCTATGTAGAGGAGAAAGAGCTAATAGCATTCCTCAAAACATGTTGGCGTGATGGAAGCTTTGGAAAAAAGTCTGAGAAGGTGCAGTAGGCAACACTGCTGCTCTCTTCTTGATACCACTTACATGTTTTCTTGGTGAACTGTGTGCATAAAGCTAGAACTGTAAGTTTCGTTTATCTGATTAAAAAAAAGCTGTCTTAGGTCTTTTGTCAAGTTAGTTTGCCTCAGTGTATTCACCATTCTGAACCAATATTTAACTATGCAGGCAGGGAAGTTCCGATCACTTGTACCTGATTGCATTTTCTTGTGTCACTGTTTTTCGTATTGTTACAACAATGGTGCAATATATTTCCACATTCCTTTTGTTCTGCCAAAAGAAATTGCTGTTCCAAGCAAGCTATCAACTTCTTCATCCTAGGAGCATATTTCGAATGCTGGCTCTCAGTAGAGTCAGGTAATTGTTATATTTAAGAAATACATACGCTCTTTGACTGCCAGCCACTTATTTCACACCAACTTTTGTGTCATGAAAGAACTTGTAGTTATGTCACTGTTGCAAAACTAGTTGTTTGAACTGTTTCTTGGGAGTGGATAAATATATGGCCCATATTTATTTGTGTAAAGTTACTAAATGAAGATCAGGGCTCCAAAACACCTTAACTGCTACCATTGCAAACTATCAGCAGTTTTGCCCTTGAAATTTGTTTTCCAAGCACCTTAGTGCTCCACTTCATGAAGCCATTCCGCCCTAGACAATTTCACTGGTAGTGTTGTCATTAGCTTCTTTATTTATATTGAAATGAAAACCAATATGGCTTTAATTTTTGTGTTGTCTTATCTTATTCTTGCCGTTACTAGAAACAAGCAGCCTATTCTTGGTAATGGGAGTAGGTGGGGTGCTACTTGGACAACTCACAAAGCCCGAGAAAGAAAAGACCGGAATATTATCTTCATATTATGTAACCCCAGGAATATTATCTTCATATTAACGTAAGCCCTGGTTTCTTCTATTTCTCCTTCTATACTGTCCACCATTCTGTTGTAGCAAAGTTGGGCAAACCCAACTGAAGGAAGGGGGTAATAATGTAGGATGATGAAACCTGTAGTGATTTTAGCAACCACGATGCACAGACAGGTAAATTTTTCTGATTGAGTTAATGGCTTAATTAATAATAGTTAACATTTCCTAATTTGTAGTATAATTGCCTGTGCTAGCTTGTCAAAATATGTGTCACATTCAAACACCTTTTTAGAGGTTTTCTAAGATGCTTGCATGATTGTATTTATGTTTAGAATCCACATTCCTATTCCAAATGCTTGAGCACAGCCTTGCCTGTGCTCAAGAATTTTGTATAATGTTGCCATTTGAGACCAGATTATAGGCAAATGCCTATTTTGTTTCTTCCGTTCCTCTCGTGCCACTTTGGTATATGAGCATGAATTAGAGGTTAAGGAGGCTTTTTATAGTGTTTTTGTAGTGCTTATAAATGCCCATTTTTGAAATCGGTGCCTGTATGAACACCTTTTAATCTCAAACTTAGCTTTCAGGTACAGTTGGAGACCGGTATTCATATTACTAGGCAAAACTGAGCTTTGGGAGCTCTATGGGGTGCTATTTATACTCCACCTCAAAGGCTACTTCAGAACCATCAAGGCTTCGAGGCCTCTTAGTCAATGGGAAGGTCGATTAGCCTCTATACATGTATTCAGCTTCGTCATGCCATGGCATCTCCTCGGCGTCTGCTCGCAAAATGAAGAGGAGGTGCTTCTGTGCAACCACAGGACAATAGAGAATGAACACAAAACCATGGAATGTCACTCAGGGAATGTGTAACGTTGGTAAAAAAATCTGATCTTCACGTGGTTTTTGTCTTCTTTGTCATTTACTTCGTAAAGGGCTCTTCACCATCTCACATGAGCTCTTTTAATTAGACACTGAAAGTTGTTGTGTGCCCAGTGAAAAGCTTTGTAGCTCAAACAGTCATGAAAGCATGATACGAGAAGGTGAGCTTGAAACCTTTACCGCTTGCCTTGTGTGGGCTTGCGAGCCAAATCCCTTCCCCGTCTTCTTCGGTATTGAAACAAATCGGAGCCGGAAGATCACTCGATGCAGACGTATTAACACCTCATGCGAACACAAGGTTATATTCGCATGATATGCCCATGCCAGGTCGTGCACGCAAGAGGTGTGTGTCCTTCCGACGTTCTCTGTATTGTGTTGCCTGTTTCAGCGGGATGGATCGCGCTATGTTTGCACGTTTGGAGTGGCTTGCATGTATTATGTATCCTTACCACGATACACAGGGTCGCACTGCTGGAACTGCTCTAAGAGATGATGCACCAAAATTACTCCAAGCATTCTCAAGGCTGGCACAGGCACAATGCAAGAACGGCCACAACACCTATGCAAACAAAACGGAAGCAGGTTAGTCTCGCATCTCGCTCAATACAAAATAAAAATAATAAACAACGTGCACAGATTCCATTTGCATGTTTTATTATTTCTATCAACCTTCATTCTTCTATTCAAGCAACAGACTCACAAATTACATGTCACCTTGAATAATTCTCGCAGAGCCAGGTACTACTTTCACATGTGCAAAACCATTCCTTGTTGTAAGTCACCTCCACCATACTGGGCCGCATGCCCATGAGATGAAGGGGCAAGGGACGTTCAGTTTGACATTTCACCTTTTTCCAGGGTGCGTAGCGTTGCAAATATTGGCCGACAAGATCGCGAGTGCTGAATGCATGCATTTCTCTTGCCTGCTTGAAATGCTAAAGCGTGGTGAGGGGCCCTTTACAGTGTTCACACAGAAGAGAAATTGACCGTGTGCGATTAGAACCAGTTAATACGATGCTAAAAGACCCTTGTAGAGGTCTATTTAATTGCTTCCGCACTGCTCTTTTCAGCCATGCCGTGAAGAAAGAGACCTAGAAGCATGTTCAATTGGCGGTGGACACTTAAAGCAACATACTGCAAACAAAAACCCACACAATGACGTGGCGACGCGATCAAATGCATATTGCTGACTGCTGCCTGGAGTATATATATGCTGTCACATTACACCGTAACTGCAACCCATGGATAATGGCACTCAAGGACGTTAAACTTATTCGAACAAGGGCAATACGACTTTATCATTTTTCTCATCACGTGCATCTTCATCCTCTTTTGAAAAGCGGCACATACAAGCCTGCCAGCAGAATAATACTTGCAGAACTTGTACTAGTGGCATTACCCCCTTTCCCAAAGAATATCGTCCGGATGTCACAACCTAATTACCAGATGAAAAGAAAACACATACGATAAGCAGCCCACAAGGGGGTGTTCACAATCACTGTAAGTCTACTCAAGGGAGTTTGACGAATAGTCAGCGTTGGTAAAACGGTTTCATCCTCGAAACCTGGACGACGTATGGCTGTTGTGAACGGAGGGATTGACGAGGCATGTCCTCGTCAAGAACCTCGTAGTTCACTTCGCTGAGACGACGGAGAACTCTATAGGAACCAAAATAGCGGTGTAACAACTTTTCCGACTTGCCCCGTTGTCGAATGTGAGTCCACAACCATACTCGCTCTCCGGGTTGGTAAGAGACATCGCGACAACGAGCGTTGTACCCCAGCGAGTCGATGCATTGTTGCTTATGGATTTGTTCGACTGCAAGCTTACGAGCTGCGTCTGCCAGTCTGATAAATTCGTTCGTCTTGACACTAATCTGGTGTCTGTCTGGTAGAAGCATGGCATCCAGCTTTGTAGTGACCTCCCTGCCGTGAAGCAACCGAAGTGGTGTGAATCCAGTTGTTTCTTGCAGAGTGTGTAAGCAAACGTGACGTAAGGGAAGATGTCATCCCAGTTTTTGTGGTCTTCGTCAACATACATGGATAGCAAGTCGGCAATCGTCTTGTTTAGTCGCTCTGTAAGGCCGTTGCTTTGTGGGTGGTATGCAGTAGTTTTTCGATGTACTGTGCCGCTGAGCTGCATGACGTCTTGTATCATCCGGGCGGTAAAAGCTGTGCCATGATCAGTAATGACAACTGCTGGTGCTCCATGTCCGAGGACGATGTTCTTCATAAAAAAGTGGGCATAAACAGGCCAAGCATGCAATTAAAGGAAAATTTGAATTTTTAAAAAATTTATTGTGCCTATATATACGATTTTGGGGGCCTAAAACTGTGTTTTGCCTGCCTATTATTGGCCATTAAAACCCGATTTTCAGGGCCTGTAAATGCAGCTTCTAGTTATCACGGATGTGTACTCCACCTATGTCCTCTACACTAAAGCAATGAATGATTCATTTACATTCTGGTTCTGAAACCTTACGTTTGATTGAAGAGCTCTGCCTTGCTAAGTTTGTCACATAGTGACACTAGCTCTTTGACTGTACTAAAGAATGGAACAGCAGGCTCTTGGCACTAACTGCTTGCCAGCATCAACAAGGGCATTTGTACACTGAGTAATGACAGATTCGACTTGGATTGCAATGCATCAGTCTGAGTCTCAGTATTGATTTTCCTGTAAATTCAGACTTGCAATAAAAAAAAATATATGCCAACTTTAACTTTATTAGCAACATCAGTGTACTTTACACACTTCCCAGTACCTCTCTTGGTATCTCTCTCCCATGTCTCTTGTGGAATGGCACCACTGGGTAGACCATGGCCTACCTTAAAAGGCTGAGCAAGTGCCCCCTCCTTTCCTACGATGAAGGATGATCCGACCAGGTTTGAGGGGAGGGGGGCGCACTTGCTCGGGCCCAAGCCGAAATTCGAGATGGCAGCAGGAGAGCCACTAAATATAAAAAGGCCCATCTGTGTTTCTAATGAAATGCTTTATTTATTTACAGCAATGAAATTTCATAAACAATATTAGATATGCATTGAGTGTTCTCATTGTAGTGGTTCTTTTTTACTAACGATGCTCGTCTTGAAAAAAAAAGTGGCTGCGTAGGAGGAGGGGAGCATTTGCTCGGTTATTGGTGCTTGTCTTAAATATTTTGAAAAAGGGAGAAAGGTGGTTGCTCGGCACTTTACGGTTATGGATAAGGCATTGTGTTGCTGTGAATAGAGAGCCTCGTTCAGAACCAGCCTGTGGGCCAATTTATACCAATGGCCATGTGTCGATCTTCATTAATTTGTGTGGCTCTAACTTGGAAGGCTGATTAGGTGCTGCTCTACAGTGAGAACAGGTTCCTTAAATTTATCTGGGCCTAGGTGAAATCAAACCATCACAGATATTCAGGCAATAGCCTGAATGTACATCACACACATGCACAGACTTCACAGCAGTGCCACTAAATGGTGCATCGTTTCTAGGCAAAGTGCCAAAGAGGAGCTTGGTTGCTTGTGGCATTGTTTATTACCTATTACACCAGTGAAAACATAGTCCTTTTTTTTTTTTGTTCCCGTCTGCTGTCGTGTCAGTGTTGTCCCCTGGAGTCAACTTTTATCCATAACAACCTAACTAGGCCTGAGCAAACACTGTAAAATGTTATAGCTTAGGAACTATGTGCACGCACATCGTATCACGTACCGTATTTACTCGCGTAATGAACACACTTGCATAATAAACGCACCCCCAACTTCTGTAATGAAAATTTGGATTTTTTTTTCCTGCGTAATAAATGCACCTCCTACATTCATCCGCTGCAGTCCCGCTAACCGACACCCGATGCTTCCTCCCCAATTGAATCTGTTCCCTTTTTAATTACTTTGCGGACCCCTCTCGAACATTTCTCAACCCCTCTCGAACCCGAAATCCTGCTACTCACATAGCTCTATTTTGTAACCTTCTTACCATTCTCTTTATGTAAATAACAACAGCAGGGTATACTGTGGCTATGCTTGTCAACTCCCCTACCCTCACTTTCTTCCCAATTTTTTTCCAACATCCCTACCCCTCATCTTTTCTCAAATAAACTGCATGGTGTTTTCTTTTCTCGTGGATAATGACACAGCTGCACTGCTTAAACATTCCTGCTCCAAAATATGTAGGGCTGTTTGTTTATGGGTAAAACCCAATTTTTATCGATAATTCCACCCCAAACGTATGTTTCTGGAGAATCAGGTTAAACCTCAATTCTTGCCAAATCGAAAACCACTAAGCAACCTATATATTTTTTCTTTCTTCATGGAGTTTTTCTTTCTGCATGGAGTTGGTCGTGCACACGTACTGGACCCTGCCTCGGGACAATAAAGTTGAATACTGTTGGGCTAAGTATATTTCAAGCAGTGACCTATACACAGCAAAGAGTTTGACGCACAAACTCAGCACGCTCCCAACTTTTTTTGTCATCATTACTTGTCAGTTTGCATAAATATCTTACTTGGAACATTAGTAAATTCAGCCCAAAAAGCACCAGAATTTTTAGACACTACCATAAAAATACCCACTTTTTCCCCATATATCAGTTTGAAATATAGCACTCAATTTCCACACCCCCCCCCCCCAAAAAAAAGCAAACAAACAACCCTGAATATATGCCATAATTGGGAGTGGTTCACATGTCATCCCATAATTATGGAAAAGCTGCAGTACAAATAACTGATTAAACAAACACAAAGTTAGGCCACGGAAAGCATAGGGGATGTTATTTGTGGTTTCTTTACTGTAGTAAAATGATTCTCATTTAAATTGAAGAAAATTAATTTCGCCGAAAAGTCTTCTTTCTATTGGCAGTATCCGAACCCGCGACCTCAAAATTCGAAAATCGTAAGTTCAGGTCCCGCCACCAGAAAGGTCTATTTTTCATCTTCATTTATTTATTTGAAATTAAATGAGAATCATTAAACCACAAATAACGTTATCTACGCTTCCCATGGCCTGATTGCGTGACGGGTTCATCAGTTATGTATAATACAGAA